AGCCATGTAGTTGTCGATGAAAACTTTCTTCAACTGTTCCCAAGATCCAATGGAATCCGGGGGCGAGGCTCATGAGCTAGTTCATCGCGGTTGGCGTAAGCATGACGGGAAGATAGTTTGCCATGACACTGGTATCTCCCCCGGTGGCGCGCACAGCAGTGGCATAAGCTTGTAGCCACTATGTGGGGTTCATTCACCCCTCGTAGGGCTCGACCCCGATGATTTTGAAACCATGGGGCCACTGGAGTGTTCGGAGTGCTCTCGTGAATGCTCGGGGCCCCTCAGGATCGTCACCGTCGGGATCTATAGCATTGCCGACATTAAGTGGCTGGAGGGCTGCATCTGGATTACCAAACTCTTGTTCGTATTCTTGACGCCAGCGTACTTCCTCTTCATGGCGAGAGAAACGACGCCTGTCAATATGACGTCGTGCATCCTAGAGGTTGTTGATGTGTGCTGGGACATCTTGGTCGACTTCATGGTCGTGTTGGCGAGGGTAGTCGATACGGTCCCCCTAGCTCCCCCTAGAGGGGTTATCAATCACGATGTTGATCGGCAAAACGGCTTTTGCCAGGGCGGTGATTGGATCTTGGCGCCGTGGATCGGCGATTCGAGCTTGTCGAGTAGGAGGGTCCCTGATCTTGGTGGATCTCATTGACCTGGTAGTGTGCAACTTTAAGCATTGCGGAGACCTTGGCGATCTCTGGCGTTTGCTCGAGCCGAGCGAGCTCATTAGCGGCCACGACCAAATTGGCGCTTGGGGTCTTGTAGACATCATGGCCATCGACGTAGATGAAGTCGTCATCGAGGTTGCGACGGAGTGGGCGTGGCCTCCCTTACGAGTCAAGCTGTTCTCCATTGCGAGTAGCCTCGGCTAGCACAATGGCGGCCTCATTCACCCAACACTGGGCATGGTTGGCATTTCTGTTGACACGAGCTACGCGGTACTCATTGGTTTCTCCGTCCCGTGGAGGGCTATCGACACTGACATTAAACATCCCGCCTCCTCGGAAGGGTGGGAAAGGAGGTTGGACGGTGGCGGTTTTGGCTACAGTCTTCGTAGAGCCCTGGGATTCAGAGTCTGGATTTTCCTCTAGGATGGTGTGGAGGGACGTTGGCCAATTTGTAGCATATTGACAGTTGGTGAGAGCTAGTCGACGATCGAGTCGACGATAGGATAGATGTCTCCCACCTGGTCGGTGAATTTGCCCCTTAGGGCATCCTGATGGGTGCGCGCCGTAACCCCTGGAGTTTCCTGATCAGCCTCAGATAGATCGGAACCGGAGGGTGGTCGGCGTTGAACCAGAGTGGTCAGGGCTGATTCTGCGATGGAGAGGTAGCCGGCGAGCTTCTGGCCAACCTGATTGATGGATGCGATCAGATCATCGTTGTTGATCTGCTTCCTTAGATAGCGGGGGAGCAGGCGGTGAGTTGTTGGTGAAGACAACCTCGGAAGCAGTTCTAAGATCGGATCTGCTGTTGCAGGTGTTGGTGTGGTCGGCACAGAATCGATCTGCACTGGCTCAATGATCTCTCCATCTCCATCAGCATTAATGACCCAGGAGATCGTTTCGACCGTAAAGATCTGTCCGGGCTTTGGGGAGGACGAAGAGCCTATAAAATGTACCATCTTATTCGTCATAGAAACAGCACGCACACCCCTACCTGGCGCGCCAACTGTCGATAGAATATCGTCGGCAGTCCTTCGAGGGGTATCCCACGAAGGTAGATTGATCGATAGAGGTGCGCGTAATCAAGAATAAGAAGGCAACAGAGACACAAGAGTTAGACAGGTTCGAACCATCAGCACGACGTAATACCCTACTCCCGTGGTCTGTTGGTTTGTATTGGCTATCGTACGATATTACGTGTGTTTTGAGGGGGGTCCCTGCTTGCCTTATATAGTCTGGGGGCAGGGTTACAAGTCGGTTAGATCTAAGAGATAACCGGAAAGTAATAACAAATTATAGGAATCATGGGATCGAACGTACCCTAACAGATCTCGTGGCATCTTCAAGATATCACCCTTGATGCCTTAAGGTACACGCCAAGCAGTGCCGTGCACCGTAGGTCTTCGTCTTGTGGACTGGACCACCCCTGGCAGTGCAACCCATGTAGTCTACCGTGGGTATCCAGGGTCGTACCCCCCACAATCACCATCATCATGTCACGATCTTCATTTGCTTCACCACTTGGAGTAGTGCTACCTATCTCATAATCACTTTGATAAACTAGGTTAGCATTTAAGGTTTCATCAATTCACCAAAACTAAACTAGAGCTTTCACCCAAAGAGACCCTTGATATCAGAAGGGCAAGCCTAAGGAGGCAAGGGCCACCATCGCTCGGGGCTCGGGGGCTAGGCAAGGACGTGAGGATTCCTGACCAAAAGGGAGCCCTAGCCTAGTCCTAGCCTGGGCGGTTGTCCCAGCTTTAGCTTGGGCCCCACAGGCACCCCAAGATAAGATCGAAAGCTAGCTCCGGAATCTGTCAGGCATCCAGAGCCAAACAGGTGCAGAAGCACTACATTGCCATCCTATTCCATAGCCATGAGGCACTGTCGATCGCTGCCTTGGTAGGGTCACACCTAGGGCCTGACACATTAAGACAAAGGACTTCCCTAGGCCCGTGGAGCTAGGGGCTCCGAGCCTGCTCGTCAGCTCCTTAGGGCAGGGGAAGATCCTTGCGTATCAAGGAAGTCTAGAGAAGGCTCACCCAGGGAAGGCCCCGTCATGTCAGTGAGTGGTTGCGATGTTGTCGCCCCTCTCCTATATGACAAAGAAGGGCTTGACGGTGCCAAGGGCAAAGGAGACCGAAGCCCAAGACGAGAAGCCCTAGGTTAGAATCCTTCTGTTTTGTATCCTCTTGCCCTCCTTAGTAAATAAGGGAGGCATGAGCTCCTGTAGAAGTGATCGAAAGATCAAGAGGCTAATCGACCGAACCAACTAAGAACCTTATGATAGCACCGTGCAATCCCCTACCAATCTCTCTCTTGATTCCTCCATTGTAAGAACCCTCGACTAGGCATTCCTAATACGAAGAACACTATACTGCTGGATGTAGGGCTCAAAAGCCCAAACTAGGATATATCGTTTGTGTCACTGAGTGTTTTGAGTGTCCAAGCCATCGGAGATCCACACACCGACCTTCGACGAGCAAGACAATGTTTGCTGTGGTTGCGAGCCCACTATAACGACAATGGAGGATGACAAGTTCAGAGAATGCTGGGAGGAGGATGCACTATGGTAGAGATGCGATAGCACAAGGGTGTCCATGATGGTGAGATCTAGTCACGACAAGAGATGGGAGACCGGAGGCAAAAGGGAGGGTGGGATGTCACCTAACAAGTGGGTCCAAGTGCTATACAGAACGAGCGATTGCTCTTCTTTTTGCTGTAGCTGCAACAGTTGTTGCAAAAAAACATCATTTGAAAGTACTGCATGCATGCATGCAGCAGCCGCCGCAACCCAAAGAAGGGCAGCCGATCAAGACGCCAATGTTCAGATTTTGCCAACGTGGACTACCAACTCATCAAAACTTCTTTAGTATCTTAATACACCTCGTGTTAGCTCTAGAGGGGTTGTTTTCTCTGATTTGGGTTTTTCAAGAAACTGGAGACCTCTATTCTGGCTTTCATATCTTAAGTTTTAATTTTTCAGATTTGCTTATTCATCCGCTCTAGGCGATATCCTCGGTCTTTCAATCATGCTACGTATTGAGCTTTTGGTGATTTTAACATGCAAAGGGTCTTTAGAGTAATAGCATTTTGTGGAGTGGGTACACGAGGAACAAGATGGTCCATGAACCCAACATGAACTAATTTTATTCTATTTTCAATCCCCATGGGGGGCAAAATAGGCCCTATCTTTCTCCCTATCTCCTAATAGAGGAATTCACCATCCAAAATTGGGATCGGGGTTCCATTGCCATATCTATTTATGTCCCTTAGAGCATCTCTCGATAATTTGTAAACCCACTCTCAATCTTGTTTTTTTTCATATGACAGAAAAAAGTCCACTCCAATAATTTCTTATCCCAACTTCCAATGTGTCTGCACGTGGAAAAACGAAGGCATCCACACACAATCCCTATTGGTGTTCGCAACCTTGGTACTGTTTTTTCCTTTTGTCTCGTCATTGCCCATGAATGCCGCCTCCGCTTGAAGGTTTACTATAATTGAATCTACGACCACTATTTTTAGATATGAAAATATCAAGAGATAGAGTAGTCATTGGAGATTCGTTTTGGAGGTTTTGAGTATTACTTATGGTGCCGGAATAGCCGACGACGACTCGATCACTGTTGTCTAGAGGTTTTCTAGAATTAGATCTTCGACTATTATTTTTAGATTTACGAATATTAAGGGATAGAACAATTCGTTTTAAAGGTTCTACACGTGAGCTAAGATGTCAGTGATGACCGACTGTGGCGATGAGTTATTTCGTCGATGGTTGGTGTCTCAGTCTTATATAAGCTAACGATGTATAGATTTTTTTAGAATGAGCAAAATGAAATGTTGGTGAAATGTTTTTCCACACACAATAGTTTGTAGAAAAGTTATAAAACCTGGTTTTGGGTTCAATTTTTTTTTAGATATTGTCATAGATGCTCTTGAAAACAAATTTAGTACGAGGGTATTTTTGACTACGCTATTATGGTTTTGTCAGCTTATAAAGAGCCCAAACGGATCACGATACACCCAGCTCACGGGGAAGAGCCCACTGCCTGGAGCCCTGGACAGCCAAGAGTCCAGATTCCAGCCAACGCACGAGCACAAGTTCGCCGAAGAAACTTGTTGCTAAAAGCACGCAGGCAGCACGCGCGCAGACGGTAGCAGCGGGTCACGGCACCCTTCTCATCGGGCATCAGTCACAGCCCACCCCCCTCACAATCCAAGCAAATCCGCCGAACACACAAAAACCCTAGACCGCCCGCGCCCAGCCCAGCAGTGTCTCTCCACCGCCGCCGCCACCTCGTGCTCCCCTTGCCCTCGCATCGCGGGATGGAGCACGACGCGCACGCCGAGGCCCTGACGCACGCCGTCCAGCCATCGGAGGACGCCACCGTCGATGATTGGGCTCGCGACGACGCGGAGCCCATTTCCGTCGAATCTGGCGCTGCCCCCGCGGAGGTGGCTGCGGCGGATTCCGGCGCTGATGCCCCGCACACGCCCGCGCCCTCGCCCTCGGCCGCGGTCGCGGCAGAAGGTTCCCTTCTCGGCCCTGCGTACCTCTCTTTTGCTCGTGCTGTTATACAGCTTATTTGCTTAGATCTAAGCCTATTTGGCGCCGATCAGTAGTGCTAGCACGCTCGATTACGCGTAGGGTAGGGTTTATGAGGGTCATGGTCTCGTTTTATAGAGGTTGCTGGTTTGCTGCGGTGGGAAACAGATTAGGACGATGGAGATTATGTTGTGGCAGGGATCTCTGCTAGTTCGGTTGGGTGCATAATTTGTTGGAAGCGAAATTCAACTGCTAGATTTACCTGGTTCAAGCCAGCTACTGTAGCCAGGTGTGAATCAAGATTCTTGAGTGTCGGTTGTTTTGGCATGATATGCTTGTGGTTCTGTGCCCCGCTATGAGTAAGTTGACGACCATCCATAGGCCTATAGTTTGTACCGTAGCAGTTTGTGCTTCTGTTTCTTGTTTCTTTTGTCAGTTTGTAATTGTGATTCCGTGAGCCGTCCTTGAAAAGGTTTTCTTTGGCTGAGCTTTTGTTGTTGCCGTGTGCTTGATCAGACAGCAATTAAGCCACGCATTTGCAGTTTCCAAATAAGTGTGCTTGATCAGACAACATTTAAAGCGATGCATGTGCAATTTTCAGGAACATACAAGGGGATATCCCTTGGTGTATGTTGTTCGCTGATGATGTAGTGTTAGTGGATGAAAGCCAGGCGGGAGTAAATAGGAAACTAGAGTTATGGCAGCAGACCCTTGAGTCTAAAGGTTTTAGATTGAGCAGAACTAAAACCGAATACATGAGATGCGACTTTGGCGGAGTTGTACACGAGGAGGGAGATGTGAGTTTGGAAGGTCAAGTAGTGCCTAAGAAGGATACCTTTCGATATCTAGGATCGATGCTACAGAGGGATGGAGATATTGATGCGGACATTAGCCATAGAATCAAAGCAGGGTGGATCAAGTGGCGACAAACTTCTGGCATTTTCTGTGACAAGAGGATACCACAAAAGGTAAAAGGCAAGTTCTATAGACCGGCGATGTTGTATGGAGCAGAATGTTGGCCTACAAAGATTCGACATGTTCAACAACTGAGTGTTGCAGAAACGCGTATGTTGTGATGGATTTGCGGTCACACAAGAATGGACCGAGTTCGGAATGATGATATACGTGATCGCCTAGAGGTAGCACCAATTGAAGAAAAACTTGTTCAACATCGGTTGAGGTGGTTTGACCATGTCCAAAGGAGACCTCCAGAGGCACCAGTGCATTGTGGAGTCCTATGCCAATCTAATAATATGAGGAGAGGTAGAGGAAGACCGAAATTGACATAGGGGGAGGCAATAAAAAGAGATTTGAAAGCTTGGGATATACCTAGAGATCTATGTTTGAATAGGAGTACTTGGAAAGCAGCTATTGAAGTGCCTGAACCGTGACTTGGGGCTCTTGGTGGGTTTCAATTCTAGCCTACCCCAACTTGCTTGGGACTGAAAGGCTATGTTGTTGTTGTTGCATGTGCAATTTCCAAAAAAGTGGCTGCTGAAGTGCGGTGCTGCTTAGGAAGGTTTAGTAGCAATTAAGCGCATAGGGGAAGGGTGTTGCCTATCTCCTAAGCATGTCAGGTGACCAACTTGTGGGGCACTGCTGATTTTCATGAATGGAAAATCCCTTGAGTTGGATTTTTCATTAGAGCAAGTGAGGGAACTTGTGACAAATATGGTTCGAAATTCTTATTTGATATGCAATAGATGCTCCTTTACCCATTTGTGTGCACCTTGTGGTTCATGTAGACTGCCACATGCTCCTCCAAAGACCCTTGTACCTCTCATCCTCATGCAGCCACAGCTAGAACCCGGCAAATGAAAGCGCAGCCCCACTGATCTGCTTCGTGTCTGGATGCTCTTATGCAACATGCCTGCCATAGACAAACATGTAAAAAACTATTCCTCCTAGTCCAACTCAATGTTCGATAAGATCAAGGTTATAAAAGACGCTAGCCGACTAAACATAGGTTAAACGCGATTAAGTGTTTGTTCTTTTTTATATATTTTAATTTATTTTATTTTCCTAGCAACACATATGGCTCAGATTAGATGCCCAACTTGAATGTCAGAAGAAATTGTAACATATTCAGGCAATTTTGATTCTAGTTCTTGCAAACTTGCAAAGAAGTGGTGAAGGGACTTGCAATTTTGATCCCCGCACGTCCTGTTTCCCTTTTCACTGGCTCTTCTGTGTGCTTTTTTCCTTGCCCACCAGCCGGCGCGGTCACACATAGCCCACCAAACCAGCCAGGCCGCCGCTTTTTCGCGTTTTTGTGCCGCTTAAGCACTGCCCCACGCCTACGCACACTGCCTAGACGTGTCCAGAGTTTTATTGGATGCCCAGGTCTTAAATGAGACGCTAGGGTTCTGTTTCAGGTTTATTCGAGAGTAAACATAAGTTTAATTAGGCTGTTTAGAACCATGGATATGACTTATTTAGAACCATGGATATGACTTATCCACTGATTCTATGTTTCCTTGCACAAAACAAGAAGAGAGTTGGCATTCTGTTCCTCACCATTTTTGTAGCGCTCCCAAAGGTAGTTCTCTGCCTTTTTTTGTTGGCTTGCATAGAAATTTTTGGATCCCTTTAGAAACCCTAATAGGTGGGCATGTTCCATTTATAAAATCTAGCGCTGACAGCACAACATATTCTTAAGTTTTTTTCCATTGTTCCCGCAAGAAAACATGGGTTGGTCCTTTGTTCTGACCATACAAAACGGTTTTTTATGCATGGGATAAATTTGGAACCAGACATAGGTGGCTCACTCCCCTTTGCACGCTTTTTGTTCCTACAATATAATTTAGGGGATCCTGGTCAGTTTAATTGCTTCTTTGCCTTCGCCCATGAGTCATTTTCTCCTTTCTGAAGAAATGACTCAGATATATATAACAAAGATGTCCAATCTTGGGCTAATGGTGACCTAATAACCTGACAGTGTGACCAACCGACTATGTTGAATGTCTTATTGTTCTGGCCTGGGCTTGCAAGATGGCAAGCTGTTTATGCCTGTGTTAATTTCCTTTCTCATTGACTAACTTTGGAAAGTTCTATTTAGTTTGTCAAGTCTAATAACAAGAAATTATAATGTCATCCCTCTGGTCATGGATCGTTGTTTTAGAGAAATGACTGAAATGCCTTTTCACTTAATGAGGCCAACTATTTGGATCTGCCTTTATAGTTCTCATTTTCTGATGGAAAGTGACATGCATAATGAAATTGTTGCTATGTGCTAACCTGGACATGTACTTTCAGGTGTCAAGGAAATTCAATCATCTCTTCAATCTTTGGAGCTTAAAACAAATGGTGTGTATTAAATACATCCTTGTTTATGTTTTTTAGTCCTATCATTGTTATTGAAAACCCTTTGCTAATTTTGTACCTTGCCCACCATTTCATGCAAATTTGGTAAATTACAACCTTAATTTTCCTTATGGAATAATATTAACTTTTTATTGACAAGCTGATTTTCAATTTTGATTATTATTATGTACTTCTTCCATTGAGCTTCAAGTAAATTTCCTAGAGAGGCTATTGATCCAGGCCCAGGTTTTGTTGCATTTTGATGTTTCGGTATTTTCATCTGAATGATGGTTTGAACTATTGCTTCATGGTGCTGCACAGAAACTGAGTCATTTTATTATTACAATTCCAAAATAGTGGATACTGCTTGGGCCTGTAGTTTTTTCTTATTGTTATACAGACTCTTACACCACCCTACTTTTCTATCGGTGCAGTTGCTACTCAAGAAGATGCTCATGTGGTTGAAGACGATGTAGATGAAACAAAAAGACACTTGAATGTGGTTTTCATTGGCCATGTTGGTATGTTCAATTTTATTGTTAGCTAGATTGGTGCTTACAGAATACTTAATTGATTGATGTGTTCCTGTGTAATTGTTGACTGTGTCTGATGTATGATTGTGTAATGGGGTTAACTATTAAATGGTGGAAAAAATTTGGTTTTTGCGAGAATTTAGCTGTTCTTTGGTGGTTCATGATTGGATGGATACTTTGAAACTTAGATGGGGCCATTTTATCATATTTAATGCCAATGTTTTTGAGGCGCCGCGGCGAGGCACGGCGCCCGACCCCCTTCACAACGCCTAAGCGTTTGTGGCGGATGCCTAGGCGACGCCATACACACATTGTAAGGCGTTGTAAGCTAGAATTTTATATACTAGTGCAGCACATACATACCTCGTTTGTTGCCAATTCTTGAACCCATGTTCCTTTCTTTCCTTTGTTGCCATATTCAGAGCAGACATAGCATAGCATAGCATAGCATAGCATAGCATAGCAGAGAGTATACAATATCCAGGTTCAGAGCAGAGCACGAGGAGGCCGAGCAGAGAGTATACAATATTCAGACTTCAGAGCAGCAGTACAAGCAGAGCACGAGATTTGGAAAAGGGCCCGACGGAAGATAAGCAGAGCAGACAAGCAGATAGCAGAGTGGAGGCAGGGGGCATACCAGGCGGAAGGGCCTGACGGAGGCGCAGTCAAGCGGAGATGCAGGGGCGGAAGGGCCCGACAGGCTCCACGGCAGGGGTGGACGGCCAGGCGGAAGGGCTCGACAGGCTCCACGGCAGGGGCGGACGGCCAGGCGGAAGGGCCCGGACAGCTCCACTGCGGGCGGACGGCCAGCGGAAGAGCTCAACAGCTCCACGGCGGGGGGGCGGCCAGCGGAAGGGCCCGACAGCTCCACTGGCGGGGGGCACGGCGGCGGAGATGCGAGGCAGCTCACAGGCGGGGCGGCCGGCCGGTGGACACGAGCAGAGTCCGCGCCCAGCGGAGGTCGAGGTCCGTCCGCCGCCTTCTCTCTTCCCCTCTCCTCGCCCGCACTTCGCGGTGAATGACTCGCACGCTCGATTTCCCACGCGAAGAAGCTACCTGGGCGCCCGCGCGGTCGATTTCCCGCGTCTCCTACTTTTCCCGCGGGCGCGCAGTCGATTTCCCGCGGGGCCGCGCTCCTTTTGGCGCCCTTCCCCTACGACCGGCATCCGGCGTCCGTGGCGCGGTTGTAGGCGTCCGCCCGACGCCATTCGTGCCTAGGCGACACCTAACCCTATGAGGCGGACGCCATACACGCTGAGGTCGTGGCGACCCCGACGCCCAGGCCCTCGACCACGCCTTGTCGCCTAGGCGACGCCTCAAAAACATTGTTTAATGCTTCAATGGAGATTGAAAGACAAAGATCTCTATTTTCCATGTAATTGATATTTTCATCTGGATTCTTAAAATATTTTCCTTGCAAACTCTCATTAGTTACAGGCCAAAAGATTGTAGTACTATCAACTTAATCTGAATCCATCAAAATAACAAGATGACATTGAATCTATGTTTACATGGAAAAATCAGTCCATTGGTTGTTTTGACTCTAGTTTACAATTTTAAAAATCTGTTTTCTATCTATATGTGTCTTTTGTTGTTCAATATATGACATACTTTTTGATTCTTGACCTGATCAGTTGATTTACTGTAGTTCCACATTTGAATTTCTTATTGGAGTTTTATGCTAGTTTTCTTTTTTGCTTGTGCCTATTCCTTTAAGCCCTAAATAAATCTTCCGATGTTCAATGGGAACGTGCAATTTTCATAGTGCACACTGCCAGCAGGGCTCGCCATTAGTTAAATGTCAAGAGGTCATCATGAATTAGTAAATTTCCAGTGGTCTGGTATCCTTTCTCCTAAGCGCTAGGCAGAGTCACCGCCTAGAGAACGCCTAGTGTCTTTTGTATCCTTTTACGTCACCTATTGCTGAAAAGTTTGAACTGAAGTGTTTATAAAGGGTATTATAGTAAAAGGTCGCTTTAATTGATTTGCAGCAGCTGAACTACAGTCATCAGTAATAACTCAACAGTCCGCTTTATGGCTCATGTTTCCAGCTTGTACTTCCCCTCTGCCATGACATATTCCCTTGTTTCCCTCTTCCCTCAGCCTTGAATGCTACAAGATGGAAGCTTTTGCTTCTCTTTCTGATCATTATTGACCTGTTTCGTAGAGCTCTAGCTCTATGAAAACTGGAAAGGGTGCCAGATTGTGTCCCAGCCTCGTAGGTTCTGAGCAAGGTGGCTGAGGTTTTTTTACACTGATTCGCTTCTCCAAGTATCAGTAGTTGATATATCTGCTTAGAATTCTTAGCTTTTAACTTCTTCTGTCTTGCTCCAATTATATTTTTCTATTGTCTGCTTATTGTTCTTGACTGGCATATTTAAGAATCACAATGGTTGTGGTTTATTTCATGGCTGCTTCCATTTGTTAAAGGTCATAAATAAATGTGTTAATATTAACTTCATTGTTGCATGGATCCAGATGCTGGAAAATCAACTACTGGAGGACAAATATTGTTTTTAAGTGGTCAAGTTGATGATAGGACCATCCAGAAATATGAGAAGGAAGCAAAGGATAAAAGCCGAGAAAGCTGGTGAGTAGTTCATTTTTGTTGCAAATAAGTCTTGAGGCTCGTGTGGCTATTTGCAAAATTGAGTATTTGATTTTAACCATGATGCATTTTGAAATCAGAAGACATGTTTATATTGCTGATAAAATAGATGCTACTTTTTGTGTGTCTGCTTCTGTTTCATTACATGCACGCTACTGTACTGATTTTTTCCTAGGTTCCTCTTTTTCTTCTGACGTTTTTTTAATTATCTTGTGAAAGTGCGAACAGTAATATATGAAAAATGTCCTTAGAATGAACCTACATATACTTATTGTTGCATTGAATTGTAAATAACCATTGCATATTCTTGCCTTCGCTATAAGTGTGGCTATTTACTTTGTATAGCGTGGAAAACATTCCCTATTTGACTTATAAAGGAGCAGGTAAAGATTATTTGACAATTGCTGTCTACTGGGGACAAACACTTCCTTTGAATGAATGAAAAAATTCGATAAAAATGCGTGTGCTGATGAGATATGCTTTGAATATCTACAATTGCTAGATAAGGGAAGCATGGTAATACTGTGTAGTTCTGGTAAACTGAGAGCATAGGAAACTAGAGAGTTTTTGGTTTATCACTATTTATGATCTTAACCTCCTTGTTCTTTGTAAAGAAACTAGAGCACCGTGTGTGAAATTGTATAACTGCTGTTACGTTAAACATCAGATGCACTTGTTTGTATGGTATAAGCTAGACCACCGTATTCTTCAACCATATGACTGATATTATAAGGATTTCAGGGAATGAACTTTTAATGGTAATCTTAATTCAGTATTGTTGATTTGTTTGTTCCCTTGTATCATTTCATGTTTTAGCCTTTGTCTGCAGTTTTTGTTTTTTCTTTCTACATTTTTTTTCCACACCGGTAACAACAGAATTTCATTACGATAGTAACGAAATTACAGAGTTCAGTACGCATCGTTCAGAAACTAAAACGTAACAGAAAGAACCACCCCATAAACAATCTTGATGCTCTTATTCGTCTGTTGCAAAATTTTGTCTCTTCCATCCAGTACACTGTTAATGATTTTAATTTCTAATTTCTAATCAAAATACTTGCAGGTACATGGCTTACATCATGGACACAAATGAGGAAGAAAGGGTTAAGGTATCATTTTGTTATTTGGCTTCTAGAGTCTGATTTGTTTTTATTGTGTTAAATCTTTAATTTCCTTTGGTATTGATGAAGCGTGCCCTTTGTTGAAGAACATTTGTTTTACTGTGATTTATCTAATTCGATTGGGGTAACCTGATGTGCTTTTCAAAATTATAGTCCGAACGCACAAAATCTTTTGCCTAGTGGTTCTCTTTGTTGTTTTTGTCATGCTTATGATTCTTTTGCATGAAGGGCGGGCCTGGTGCAAGCGGTAGAGTCTTACCGCCTGTGACCGGAAGGTCCCGGGTTCGAGTCGCGGTCTCCTCGCATTGCACAGGCGAGGGTAAGGCTTGCCACTAACACCCTTCCCCAGACCCCGCACAGAGCGGGAGCTCTTTGCACTGGGTACACCCTTTTTTTTATGATTCTTTTGCATATTCTTTTCATGTGTTCAGGGAAAGACTGTTGAAGTTGGTAGAGCCCACTTCGAGACAGAACACACAAGATTCACTATCTTGGATGCACCGGTATTTGCTCTCACTATGTTACATATGTTACTAATGCAAGTCTAGGCTCCATGTACTTTAATTGTAGTTTATTATTTTATTATATTTCTTTGCATGCGCTCTATTCGCATCTGTTTGGCCACAAGTTACTTCCTGCCTTCCAGGTGACTGGATCTATTATGCGAACTGTTATAATTCTAATGTTGCTACTGAATCCATTTGGCTGATTGTGGTTAATGACCGGAGCAACTGGAAAAAATATATAGTTGGCTTTTAAGGTCAATATTTTGTTGTCTCTCTTCTATAATTTTGCCTTCAGGACTGTAGACATAAAGGCATCTGTTATTAAAGTAGGATTGACTTCTCTGTCGCGTGTTAGCACAGGAAACCTGGGTCACCATTGCAGGGAGACCATGTTGTGGACTACCATGTTATGACGTAATATACTAAATTACTAATGCATACTTCTGAGAAACAAAATAATTTTAAAAAATTTAACCACAGGAACTCAGGGGAGAAGATGTCTCCTTGGTCTGTCTTAAGAGAGGGGAGTTCCAAATCTTTTAGGGCATGACCTACTAGTACAAGCATGGGTGTGCGTGTGCTTGCCTCTCTGACAAGAGGCTCTGCTAACCTATAGCATATATACAAGACAAATAATTTCACATATACAACATGAGGCCTAGTAATTTTGGTGTACTTTCAAAGTGTGTTATGTCATCTCCTAACTCTTTTCCAGATTAATGCCATTGATTAGTACAGGTTTTGTCAGCAGTCTGAGTAATTAAATTTTAATAATTCAATAATTTGGTAGCACTGCTAATTCATTCCATATTTCTATCTCACTTGTTGGGTAGACATGCAAGCGCTCAACATGTTTATTGTACTTGCCACCTTTTACTGTGTTCAGGAAATATATCTTGCACACCTATGCTGTTCCATATACACTGTTGAATTGAATCCTTGATAGATGGCCACTACCCTTGAGCCTTGATACTTTTCCATCATTGTTTACAGGAACTGTTGATTGATTGAACTTAATGCTTGTTTCCTATATGGTGCTTGTTTAATCAAATGATTTGGTTTTGCAGGGTCACAAAAGTTATGTTCCAAATATGATAAGTGGTGCATCTCAAGCTGACATTGGTGTTCTGGTAGGACTCAAGTCATTGTTTGTTGAACTTTCTAACTTAGCCATTAGTTTTGTTTATATATAATTTCCTTTTTAGGTCATATCTGCTCGAAAAGGTGAATTCGAAACAGGTTATGAAAGGGGAGGACAGACCCGTGAACATGTACTACTTGCGAAAACTTTGGGTGTTGCTAAGCTGGTAGTTGTAATAAATAAGATGGACGAACCTACTGTTAAATGGTCTAAGGAAAGGTATACCGGATAAAACATCTACTTATCTTTTTTATGGTGTAACTTGTACAACTGGAGGAAAATAATCAAATTTGTTATCCTTTTTCAGGTATGATGAGATTGAAGCAAAAATGGTTCCATTCCTTAAATCTTCAGGGTACAATGTTAAGAAAGGTAGGTTTTATTCCACTTCTTTTTTGCCTAAAAGTATGCATTATTGTGAGCACTTCTTTTCAATCTTGAGATTCATCATTGCTATTTATTTCTACTGACTGAAGTTCTAGTTTTCATGCTTTCAAATTGTGCCTCAGTATTGAAATTTCCTCAACTGATGTCTCTTTGCCTCATGTTTCAATAACTAGAGCTAATTCCACTGTTGGCTTTGCTAAATTCAATCAGAGGCCATATCAGCTTCATTATTTATTAATTGCTTTGTTCCATTATATCATCATCAATATCTGACCCTTTTGTCTAACTGTCATTGTCTTTGTTGTCAGATGTGCAGTTCTTGCCAATATCTGGTCTTGTGGGAACCAATATGAAGACCAGGATGGATAAAAGCATTTGTAGTTGGTGGGATGGCCCTTGTCTTTTTGAAGTTCTGGACCGTATTGAAGTTCCTTTACGTGACCCCAAAGGTCCAGTAAGGTTAGATAGTTTTTCTTATCTTGTACTTCATATACTGCACTCAGAAAGTATATAATTCTTTGGACATACAATGTCTAATATGTAACTTGGTAATCATTTGAAAGTACTTGCTGTGAAACCACTTTTCATGGCAAATCTATTGATATTATTTTCACATTAGTCACCTAAAAACAGTTTTGTATTAGTCATGTGATCATTTTTTGTGGCTTTATGTAAATGTTAGAATTTGGATGGCCCTTTTCATGATTCTTTGTGTATTTTTGGTTGTGTAATCTCATGTTGAAAACTACTTATTTTGATCGTGTGCTAAATGTATCATCTTTATATTTATTTATAACAATGCAGGATGCCGATTATTGATAAATATAAGGATATGGGCACTGTTGTAATGGGCAAAATAGAGTCTGGCACTATCAGAGAGGGTGACAGTTTGTTGGTTATGCCAAATAAGGTATTCTTTCCCATTCCTTCTACTGTAATATACTTGACACTTATCTCCTTGAGCCAATTCAGTTTTACAATACTCTTGCTGTAACAGTCCCATGTGAAAGTCATTGGTTTGAACTTGGATGAGAGCAAAGTACGTCGTGCTGGACCTGCTGAGAATGTTCGTGTCAAATTGTCCGGAGTTGAAGAGGAGGATGTAATGGCTGGTTTTGTACTTTCAAGTGTTGGTAAGTTTATATTCAGGATAAAGTAGTATGATAACATCCTGTGACTAGACATGTATGTGCATTAATAGGGTGTTTGGTTTGAGAAATCAATTCATCCTAGATGATGCATCATGAGTTCATTCCTCAAATTTGGTGGAATGACTTCATTCCTCATACTAGTACTAATTATTAGTTTGTTAGGAATGAGGTGATGATGGATGAACCCATTCCATTCCACGAATCAAACAAAACCGAGGAGTGAGTAGATGGACTAATTTATTCCTAAACCAAACACAAGTCACTGCAAGCTTAGTTCCCCCATGCCAATCTGAACTGAAGGGTGAGAATGAGTTGTACTGTGATAATGAACTGGTCAACTGGCATCACAGGATGAGTTCTGTGTTCTTCTAAACTATTTCCTCTAATCCAAAATATAGGTTGTTTTGGTTTTCTAGATACATAGTTTTTACTATGTGTCGGTGTTTCGAGTTACCACCGACGAGTAAATTTGTATTATTGCGCGTCTGGCTCGGATGGTGTGCTTAGAGGACACGAGGTTTATACTGGTTCGGGCAGAAAGTCGCTACGTCCAGTTTGTCGCTGCTGCTCGTGTTACTAGCACCGAAAGTTTGTAGTAGGGGTTACCAACGGACGAGAGAGGGAAATGATCCTAAGTCTCTGGTGAAAGGAGTGAGTGGGTGCTGAGAGCTCGATTGCTGCTCACCTGTGCGTTTGTGTCGTGCTCTTATGCGGATTTGTATCGGATCTTGATGGGTCGATCGGTTCGGGATCCCTTTTATGGGGCACCCTGCTTTCCCTTTTATAGGCCAAGGGAAAGCGTGGGTTATAGCGGAGGAAAAGGAGAAGAACGAGAGAGAGGAAGGTCTCCAGGATCGCCGGGTCTTTCTTTTCCTTCATGCGGGTCCCGCCAACCCTGTAGATGTCAACAGGGACGGCTCCACGTCGCGGTCCTGTCCGTCACTGGCGCCATGCGCAGGCGTCATCCGTCGGTCATGGCGCTCCACTCCGTCCTGGTGGACGTCGTGGTGAACTGACGCGCCTGTCAATGTTCGTACGAGGGTTAGGTAGAACAGCACCGGTACGCCCGACGCTGTTATTGATGTAAATCCTCAAGTATGGCCCATCGTGGCCGCGGGTTACATCGGGGCGTGCCGGTCTCTTCCTTGTTATAAGAGTTTTGACACAGGCCCATACGCTTGGAACTAGAGTGGTTGGCGGCGGTATGGGTCCCCGTCGGGCGAGATGGAGCCTACACCCAATGGTTCTGGCGAGGCGGAGCTCGGGGCCTCGGGGTCAGGTGAGGCGGAGCCTGTCCCCAGAGGTCAGGCGAGGCGGAGATCGCGGCCTCGGGGTCGGGCGAGGCGGAGATCGTGGCCTCGGGGTCGAGCGAGGTGGAGATCGCAGCCTCGGGGTCTGGCGAGGCGGAGATCGCGGCCTCGGGGTCGGGCACGGTGGAGCCCGCCCCCGCAGGTCGGGCGAGGCAGAGCCCGCGCACCTGGGGGTCAGTTGGAGCTGTAGGTGCGCTCTTGACTGCTCGGTTGAATTAATGTTGATGACCATTAGCTACTCCTTTTCGGGTATCCTAGTATTGGTCCCCGACAGTAGCCCCCGAGCCTGCGGAGGAGTTGAATACTCCGTCAGAGGCTTTTCCGAATGGGAGGATTTTGAGGGCCTTGGATTTTTCTTGTCGCCCATGGCGTGTCCTGGGGACGGCGTTTCCCTTTCGTCGTGATCGGGCCTCTCGGGGGTATACCTGTGAGATTTGGTGGGTCGGAAAAGGTCTTTCCTGATTTTGACCCTACGGGGGTCTGTCGTTCTACGACCGTGCGTTCGGTCTCCTTGCAAGTCCAACTGTCCTCGAGCCCCTGCACGTAGCAGGGGCCCGGTCGAGGGTCGGCCCGTCTTCGTGATCGACTTCCCTCAAGCGTTTTTTCGATAAAAATGGAGGGGCTGAGCCGTGCCATGATTTTCCTCTACGGACGAGCCATGGTGCTCGGTGAGTTGTTAACGGGCTAGTCCGAGTGGGGCCCCGGCATCCCGTTTGCGGGGGTTTGGCTTGGGTCAGTTGGTGATCGACTCCAGATTCTCAGCGGTCCATCCATATAGTTGTCAGGTCCGTTTGATTGGTCCCGAGGGCTCTGCCTTTCTTCGAGCCCCAGAGCACCGCGGGAAGCTCCGCGACCCATCGTCTGCCAAACTTGTTCAACCGGTGGAAGATCCTAGGCTTGAGGCCTTGTAGGACCATGCCGTTTGCGCGCTCGAGCTACCGCCTGCTCGCGGGGGTGCGCCATGGCGTCCCAATCGACGCGGATGTGGTATTCGTCGCAGAATCGGAGGAACTTCTTTCCGGTGAACTGCGTGCCGTTGTCCGTGATGATGGAGTTCGGGACCCCAAAGCGATGGACGATGTCGAGGAAGAACAGCACGGCTTGCTCGGACTTGATCGCGGCGATTGGTCGAGCCTTTATCCACTTTGTAAACTTGTCTACGGTGACGAGCAAGTGCGTATAGCCCCCGGGTGCCCTCTTGAGAGGTCCGACCAAATCGAGCCCCCAGACCGCGAACGGCCACGTGATGGGGATCGTTTGGAGTGATTCGGCCGGTAGGTGGGTCTGCCGAGCGTATTATTGACACCCTTCGCAGGTGCGCACGATATGTTCAGCGTCGCCTACCGCGGTTGGCCAGTAGAAGCCTCGCCGGAACGCGTTTTCGACCAGGGTTCTAGGCGCGGCATGGTGACCGCAGACTCCACCGTGGATGTCGCTCAACAACCTCTTCCCTTGTTCGATGGGGATGCAACGCTCTAGGATCCCGGTGTGGCTTCGCCTGTAGAGCTCGCCCTTAATAAGGACAAAGGACTTGGCGCGACGCGCTAGCCGCCAAGCCTCTATTTTGTCCGTCGGCAGCGCCTCACGGAATAGGTAGTCGAGGTAAGGCGTCCTCCAGTCGGCCAGAGGGTCGGACTCTGTCGCTGGATCTTCGTCAAGCTCCATGACTTCGGGGTCGGATGGAGCTAACGGATAGTTAGCCCTCGAGCCTAGGGTAGGCGGCCCGTCACCGGCTTGTTCTGGCTCATAGCGGATCGAGGGCTTGTACTGATCGCTGGCGAAGACGCCCGTCGGCACCGGCTCTCGGCCGGACGCTGTTTTCGCCAGCGCGTCAACCGCCTCGTTGAGATGTCTCGGGATATTATTGAGCTCGAGACCGTCGAACTCGTCCTCCAGCTGGCGGACTTCTTGGCAATATGCAACCATCTTGGCGTTGTGGCAGCTTGATTCCTTCATGACTTGGTCGATAACCAGCTGGGAGTCACCTCGGACGTCGAGCCGTCGAATACCCAGCTCGACGGCGATGCGTAGGCCGTTGATGAGTGCCTCATACTCGGTCAAATTGTTGGAGGAGGGGAAATGGATGCGAACCATGTACCTCATGCGTACCCCGAGGGGCGAAACGAAGAGTAGCCCCGCGCCGGCGCCTTTCATCAGCGATCGATCGAATTACATCGTCCAGTACTCTTGGTCGACGGTTGCTGGCGGCATTTGGACCTCGGTCCACTCTGCAATGAAATCAGCCAGCACTTGGGACTTGATGGTCGTCCGAGGGGCATACAAAATGCCTTGACCCATCAGCTCGAGTGCTCATTTCGCGATTGTTCCTGTGGCATCCTGGTTTTGGACGACCTCGCCGAGAGGGAAGGACGTCACGATCATCACCGGATGCGACTCGAAGTAGTGACGTAACTTCACTCTTGGCGATGAGGATGGCGTACAAGAGTTTTTGGATTTGGGGGTAGCGAGTCTTAGAACCGGACAAGACCCCGCTAATGAAGTACACGGGACGCTGCACTTTGAGAGCGTGTCCCTCTTCTTCTCGCTCCACCACCAGGACGGCACTGACCACTTGCGTGGTGGCCGTAATGTAGAGCAGAAGCGGTTCCCCATCGGTCGGAGGGACCAGGATCGGGGCCTTCGTTAGAAGCTACTTGACCGTGTCAAGTGCCTCCTGGGCCTCGGGCGTCCATTCGAAATAGTCGGCCTTCTTCAGGAGCCGATAGAGGGGGAGACCTCGTTCGTCAAGGCGTGAGATAAAGCGGCTGAGCGCGGCGACGCACCCTGCAACTCGTTGTACCCCTTTACGTTCTGAATCGGGCCCATCCCTCGTGATGGCCGAGATCTTCGGGTTGGCTTCGATGCCACGCTCGGAGACGATAAAACCCAGCATCATACCCCTTGTGACGCCGAAAACGCACTTCTCGGGGTTGACCTTAATGCTGTTTGCTCGGAGTTTCGCGAAGGTTTGCTCTAGGTCGGCTATGACCTGGTCAGCCCGTTTGGACTTGACCACGATGTCATCCACGTAGGCCTCAACGGTTTTCCCAATGAGGTCTCCTAAATATTTAAGCATACAACGCTGGTACGTAGCCCCCGCGTTTTTCAGACCGAACGGCACCGTGACGTTGCACGACCCGAATGGGGTGATGAAAGATGTCGCGAGCTGGTCGGACTCTTTCATCGTGATTTGATGGTACCCGGAATATGCATCAAGGAAGCAAAGGGTTTCGCACCCTGAGGTTGAGTTGACTACTTGGTCTATGCGTGGCAAAGGAAACGGATCCTTCGGACACGCTTTGTTGAGACCCGTGTAGTCGACATACATTCTTCATTTCCCACTCTTTTTTCGTACCAGAACGGGATTGGCTAACCACTCGGGGTGGTATACTTCCTTAATGAACTCGGCCGCCAAAAGCTTCGCAATCTCCTCGTCGATGGCCTTGCGCTTCTCGTCGAAGCGACGCAGGTGCTGCTTTGGCGTGGAGCCTGGCCTGATCTTCAAGGCATACTCGGCGACTTCTCTCGGAACGCCTGGCATGTCCTAGGGTTTTCACGCAAAGATGTCTCTGTTGGCGCGAAGGAAATCGACGAGCGCGCTTTCCTATTAGGAGGAAAGCGTGGTGTCAATGCGCACCACTTTGCCCTTGGAGCCGCTAGGGTCTATGAGGACCTTCTTGGCGCTCTTTACAGGCTCAAAAGACCTGGCCGACCGTTTGGGGTCGGGTGCTTCTTCAGCGACCTTCGTGATGGTCGCAAGCTCCTTGGAGGCGATGATTGCCGCTGCGTATTCGCAGCACTCGACCTCACACTCGTAGGCGCGCTGGAAGGAGGTGCCGATGGTGATGACCCCGCACGGTCCCGGCATCTTCAGCTTCAAATAGGTGTAGTTGGGGACGGCCATGAACTTCGCGTAGCATGGACGTCCCAGGATGGCGTGGTAGGTTCCGTGGAACCCGATCACCTCGAAGGTAAGGGTCTTCGTCCTGTAATTGGTCGGATCCCCAAAGGTGACGGGAGGTCGATCTGCCCAAATGGCATGGCCTGCTTTCCAGGCACGATGCCGTGGAAAGGCGCTCCGGTCGGTCGGATGCGCGATCGGTCGATGCCCATGGCGTCAAGCGTTTCGGCGTACATGATGTTGAGGCCGTTGCCTCCATCCATCAGTACCTTGATGAGCCGCTTCGTGCCGATGATCGGGTCGACCACGAGCGGATATCTCCCCGGTTGTGGGACGCTCTTCGGGTGGTCGGTCCGATCAAAGGTTATGGTGGACTCCGACCATCAAAGGAAGGTAGGGGCGGCCGGCTCGGCCGTATAGACCTCGCGGCGTGCGAGCTTCTGGCGGCGCTTGGAGTAGTAGGCAGTCGACCCTCCAAAGATCATGAGGCAGCCATCCAGCGTCGAAAAGTCGCCGTCCTTCCTCTCGGCGTCGTCCGCGGACGTCTTGGGTCCTTCCTATGGGGTCCTTCCTATGCTCCTCCTTGTTGGAGCCTCCGGACAAGAACCGTTTCATGAGACCGCAGTCCTTGTATAGATGCTTGACGGGGAAAGCATGGTTCGGACATGGTCCTTCGAGCGGCTTCTCGAAGTGGTCCGGGGTGCCCTCGGCGGGCTTCTGACCCCCCTTGCGGTCGGCGGCGGCCACGAGCGAGCCCTCGCGCCGCTGTTTGTTCTTCTTGGTGGGACGGTTGGAGGCGCCTTCGCCGCGTCCTCGTCCCGCTTTGCCTTGCTCTTGAGGCGGTCGAAGAGCTCCTTGGTGGTCCCAGACAGGAAGGCTCCTTTGACGTCTGCGTCGGCGACGATAGGCAGCTCGTTGCACTGCCGGGAGAAGCGCCGGATGTACCCACGGAGAGTTTGCCCGGCCTTCTGTCGGCAGTTTTTGAGATCTCATGGGTTCCAAGGACGCGCGTATGTGCCCTGGAAGTTTCCCACGAAGATCTCTTTCAGGTCCGCCCAACTTTGGATTCTGTTGGGCGGAAGGTGTTCCAACCACGTTCGCGCTGAATCGGCCAGGAACAATGGAAGGTTGCGGATAATGAAATCGTTATTATCCGCTCCACCGGCTTGGCAAGCAAGCCGATAATCCTCGAGCCACAGTTCGGGGTTCGTTTCCCTGGAGTACCGCGGTGGAAAGGCGGCGTTGAGGATGTGTCGGCCAAAGGCCTGAGGTCCCGGCAAGTCGGGGCTCGGGCTTCGGTCCTCGCCGCTGTCGTAACGTCCGCCACGACGAGGGTGGTAGCCGCGGCTGGCCCCCTCCATCGCGTCGCCGCGGGCATGCCTGCGGGCATCGAGGGTGTAGCGCGCGCCACTATTGCAGCCGAGACGCTCGTGCACCGGGACCGCGGTGCGCGGCCTGCCGCCTCGTTGTGCCTGGTGGACTGATACGTCCATGTTGGGTCGCTCTGAGGGCGCGCGCTGGCTGGCGTCGAGCTCGCGTCGTCGGGACAGCGAGCTCTCAGCCTGTTGCGCCGCCGCACACTCGAGTAGCGTGCGAATCTCGCGATGGGCCCGATGATCCTCGGGTGTCGCGGGCCCCGAAAGCCCGCGGAACAAGGCCGCCGCAGCAGCTATGTTCTGGCTCGCCCGAGTGAAGTGTGGGAGGGCTTCATCGTCCTCGATGATCCTCCGGTTCACGTCGCGGGTCACGGCGCGTGCCCACCCGCCGTCTCTATGGCGCTCAATCTCTTGCTCGAGCTCCGCGCGTTCCTGCTCGAACTGGAGTCGTGCTTCCTCGAGCTCTTGGTGACCTTCAGCTGCTCCACCCGCAGGCGAGGTAGGGCCCCTGCATCCGTCTCGACCTCGTCGTCGAGGTCGTTCGTTGGGGTAGCCTCTCCCTCGTGGATGCTTTCGACGTGTCCCTCGGGGGTACCTGCCACGAAACATTCTCGAGAAAGGTGATGGCTCCCCCCGCTGGAGTCAGAGTCGAATGGCGACCCCGATTCTCCAGCGAGGAGGTCGTGGAAAGATTCCGCGACATATTCGGTCATCCCCACGAACTCATCGTTTGCGGAGGATGGAGGCGTGCGTTGCGCCACAGGGTGGCCAACGGTCTCTGCGGTGCGGAGACCGGATGGGAGCGCTGTCGGGGCGCTCCGGATGAGGTATCCCGGGGAGAGCGGCTCTCCTCCGGCAAGCTACGTCATGACGTTGGCGAACGAGAAGGTGAGGTGACGCAAGTCCTCCCGGGACGGTCGGGGTCCCAGGAAGGCGCCGAGCTGGCGCTCTAGCCTTTCGTAATCGAAGCCGAGGAGCTGGTCGCTCCTGGGGGTGCGGGCCTTCGGTGCGTGCAGCTGCAGCTCCTCAAGCGCCTCGGCGATCGCGTCTAGGCCGGTGAAGTGGAGAGGTTGGACGGCGGCGGGAGCCTACACCAACCCTCCCTCCATCGTGACGATGAAGTCCAGGTTCCCAAAGCGCACGTGCGCGCCCGGGACCCAGCTGACGCCGTGAATAGCCATCCGAGGCCTGGTGTGGATGTTGAGACGCGCAAAATGCCCCTATCTTGCGCGCCAACTGTCGGTGTTTCGAGTTACCACCGACGAGTAAATTTGTATTATTGCACTTCTGGCTCGGATGGTGTGCTTTAGAGGACACGAGGTTTATACTGCTTCGGGCAGAAAGTTCCTACGTCCAGTTCGTCGCTGCTGCTCTTGTAACTAGCACTCGAAAGTTTATAATAGGGGTTACAAACGGGCGATAGAGAGATGATCCCAAGTCTCTAGTGAAAGGAGTGAGTGGGTGGTGAGAGCTCGATCGCTGCTCACCTGTGCGTTCGTGTCGTGCTCTTGTGCGGATCTGTATCGGATCTTGATGGGTCGATCGGTTCGGGATCCCTTTCATGTGGCGCTCTGCTTTCCCTTTTATAGGCTAAGGGAAAACGCGGGTTATAGCGGAGAAAAAGGAGAAGAAAGAGAGAGAGGAAGGTCTCCAGGATCGCCGGGTCCTCCTTCATGTGTGTCCCGTCGACCCTGTAGATGTCAACAGGGACGGCTCCACGTCGCGGTCCTGTCCGTCACTGATGCTATGTGCAGCGTCGTCCGTCGGTCTTGGCGCTCCACTCCGTGCTGGTGGACGTCGTGGTGAACTGACGCGCCTGTCAGTGTTCGTACGAGGGTTAGGCAGAATAGCACCAATACACCCGATCGCTGTTCTTGATGTGAATCCTCAGGTATTGCCCGTCGTGGCCGCGGGTTACATCGGGGTGTGCCGGTCTCTTCCTTGGTGTAAGAGTTTTGACCCAGCCTCATACGCTTGGAACTGGAGTGGTTGGCGGCGGTTTGGGTCCCCGTCGGGCGAGACGGAGCCCGCACCCAAGGGGTCTGGCGAGGCGAAGCTCGGGGCCTCGGGGTCGGGTGAGGCGGAGCCCACGCACCTGGGGGTCGGTTGGAGCTGTAGGCCCTCTTGACTGCTCGGTTGAATCAATGTTGATAACCATTAGCTCCTTCTCTTCGGGTACCCTAGTATTGGTCCCCGACACTATGTATCTAGACATTGTGTATATGACGGTGTATAAAAAAAGCTATGTACCTAGAAAAGACGAAACAACCTATGACTTGGGATGGAGGGAGTAATGTCTTGTGGGCTGTGCTGGGCAAGAATTTAGTGTTTGCTCGAGGGCCTTTTCTTTTCTGTTATGTGTGCAATTGTTCAGGAATGTTGTGATGCTTCATGCATTGTGTACACATGCGAAATTACAAATATGTATGATTTATTTTACTTTATATCATTTTAGACCTTGTTGCCATGTTTTCATCTAAGGTTTCTATCCATGCAGCTAATCCTGTTGGTGCAGTTAGTGAATTCATCGCTCAGTTACAGATTCTCGAGTTGCTTGACAATGTGAGTAATCATGCTTCTTGAATAATATTACAAAAGAACTAGAGTCCACTTGTAATCTTGCAGCAATTTAAAAAATGTTTAAGCTTTGAAACAAAATATAATATATTATATTTGACCTAGTTTGGGTCTGTAGCCCTTAAGGTACATTTTTGGAGTTAAATTTGAGCTGTTTTTCACCATACCTTGCTAAGGTTGATGATATTATATATCTTTTTTTTTCTTCTGCCAATGATGATTGATCAGAACACTATTTCCCATTATGGTTTGTGAATGTGCTAGGCTATTTTCACTGCTGGCTACAAAGCTGTGTTGCATATCCACTCTGTTGTTGAAGAGTGTGAAATTATCGAGCTCATAGAGGAAATTGACATGAAGAAAAAGAAAGAAGCAGATCCAAAGAAGAAAAAGCCAAAGAGGAAGCCTCTTTTTGTGAAGAATGGTGCAATTGTTGTTTGCTGCATTCAGGTATTCTCATAGATCATCTAAAAAGCTTTCCTGTTATGAGTTCTAACTGAATTTCAGGCTCTGCTGATTGTAATGTGTTTTCATATTTATTAGGTGAATAACTTGATATGCATAGAGAAGTTCTCTGATTTCCCTCAGCTTGGAAGGTTTACACTTAGAACTGAAGGTAAAGCTTCATGCTTGGAAGCATATTTTCACTCCATGTTCATGCAGAGAAGATCATCTATGATGTAACATATGAGATCCTATGTTTTCCCTTTTGTTTGTTACTCCTCCGTTCAAAGTTATTAGGAAGTTTTGGCTTTTTTAGATACAATTGATTTTACTATGTATCTAGATATAATGTACAATTGATTTTACTATGTATCTAGATATAATGTACATGTAAGTGCATAGCAAAAGCTACATATCTAAAAAAAGCCAAGACATTTTATAATTTTGAATGGAGGTAGTATTTTTTGTCGTCATCGGAAATTTCATTTCTTTTACTTCTTGATTTTATACTTTATGTACTTAAACATAGGATATAAGGATTATGATGCCTTAACTATCTGTATTTAAATGTTTGTCGAGGTCACTTTTTCTTGTGTGAAGTAACTTATCGTCTCGTTCTTACCTTGTTATGGTTACAGGAAAGACAGTAGCTGTAGGCAAAGTTGTTGATGTTCCGCCTGCTGGCAGCCCAACATTCTGAGCTTAAGCCAATTTTGAACAGGATGGTAAGCAGAGAACAAATTACATTGAATTATCTTTTCTGATGAAGATGTTCACATATGAGAAATCACCTTTCTTGACAGGATAATCAAGAAGCAGTGCGTTCTCTTGAGATACTTTTTTGGGAGAAGTGAGATTGGTTGTTGAGCATAGATTTTTTTTCCAGCCCGGCTTGAGAATGGTCTATGCCTTCGTGGTTTAGGCTAGCAAGTCAGTGTTTAGATTGGTTGCATAATATTACATCTCTGGTTACATGTGAGGTTGTAAAATCAGTATGGATGAGTGTACCAACCTTGATGTACCGTGCCAAATTGTGGTGGTATCTTTGCGTACAATGCTGTAACTATCCAGTTTTTGTGTGAAGTTAAATATTAGATGGCCACAGGTCGGCAGAGTCGAAAGTTCCAACTGCCATGACGTGCATACGCGACTGGAAGACCTTTAAACCCGACTAGATCTTGATATTGATGGAGTCAACTGTAATCATTTGCTTAGGGTCAAGCCATTTGCTGTAGATTTTTGAGGGAAGGTTACAGATAAACAGTTTTGTCATGAACTCCCTCTGTCCCACAAAGAGAGTTAGGGCTTGTTTGGATCACTGTCAAGTTTAGAGCTCTAAAAACTTTAGAGCACTTTAGATTACTTTTGAGATTTAAAGCTCTAATGTGAGGTGGCCTAAAGTTTAAGCTAATTTTAGACTACCTGTTTAGAGTTTTAGCTCTAAAGTTTAGATGAGAGAATTTAAACAGGCTTTTATTCTCACGAGAAATAACATATTTTTAACATTGGTTAAATATATACAATAAATTATTAATATTTTATAATTTATAATGGATAATAAGTACATATATTAATTGAAGGGTATATTTTCATATGAACATTATGTAGAGATATAGGTGTTTTTAATATTTTCTATAAATCAGCTAACCATAAGAAAGTTTGATCTGCATGAATAACCACCTAAGCGACTTTATTTTTTGGGCCTGCTAACCATTGTGACAGATTTTTCTATCTGAGTTGTAGGTTTTTCTATCTGTAATAACGATCTATCTGAGTTGTAGGTTTTTCTATCTGTAATAACGATCACATGTATTTCAACCAAATAGCATATAGTCCGGTGACAAAGTTGACATTTTTTTTTATATCAAAACTCGCTGAGTCTATTCATTCACACTCGGTTTAGCACGATCGTGAACCACAGTATCAGATACAAAACTAGGGAGGGGATCAAACCGAACATGAGGTTGACAACAAACTTGCACTTTAGAAAGCAGTGACCCCCATCTTCATTAATTCTCCAACATGCTGGACATCTGGTATCTATCTCCATCCCTCTTCTCTTTATATTCATTTGTAGAGGGAGACTTGTGAGCCAAACGCCAGAGAAAATGTTTGATTCTGGGTGCACAGTTCAGACGCCAAACATGCTTCCATTCCAGTTTTCTGTACGCCTGCCCATTAGATGATTCTCCCTTTTGTTTCCTTGCTTTCTGGACCGATGAGTATGATAGGCCGATTTGACAGAGAATACCCCTTTCTTATCAAAGTGCCATGCTATGACATCCTCCCTTCCCGTATGTACCGGTATAGTAAGAGGGTGTTTGGGACTACTCCGCTCCACGTTTTTCAGCTCCGCTCCACGTTTTTTAGCCAAACAGTTTTAGCTCCACGCACTTTACTCGAGAAAAAAGGGTAGAGTTGTGAGAGCACCTAAAGAGGTACTCTACAAACTCTAGTTTTTTGTGGAGCTGCTCCACGGTGGAGTTTATGGAGGAGAGTTTGTGGAGCAGTTCCAAACAACCCCTAAATATATGTTGCACATCCTCCTTCCAGAAGACATCCCTAACAAGTACATGATCCCAGTCACCCGTAGTTGGGTCTATCAAATCAGCAACATGGGTGATCAACGTCTGCCCCGTCGGGGTAATGGGCATTCTTGTTACACCACGGGGTATCCATGGGTCATGCCAGATGTTGATCGAATTGCCATCACCGACTAGCCATATTAATCCATCTTTTAAAGCTTTAATTCCCCGCAATATGCTTCTCCACGTATATGAAATCCCAGTAGCCTCCTTAGCATTCAGAAGGTCACTGTTCTGGAAATATTTGGCTTTGAGCACCTGGCCGCATAACGAGTCAGCTGTTATTAGGAAATATTTGGCTTTGAGCACCTGGCCGCAAACGAGTCTGGAGCCAAACCAGCCAAGTGATTAATAATCCACGATCGAACGGCCTTGTCTAGCCAGTCTAGCCAGCATTGCTAAATTGAAGAGATGTAAATCACGAAATCCCAAACGTCCTTCCTCCTTTCTTCTACACATAGTGTCCCAGGAAAGCCAATGCACTTTATTCTCATTGTCTTGTTGTGACCACCAGCAGCGACAAATCATTGTGCTAATCTCATCACATAATGATTTAGGTCAAAGCATGACATTGCATATGTTGTTGACTTTCTACTATACTATTTGTACGTAACTTTTGCCAAGTTTGTAGGTTAATAAAAAGGGTAAAGTCCAATTTATAACCTTGAACTCTCGCTAAAGTCTAGATTTTAACCTCGAACTCCAAAACCGGATAACTTTGGCCCTCAAACTCTTGTAACCGTTCAATTTTCAACCCAGGGCTGGTTTCTGGGCGGTTTTGGTGTATAAACAGTAACTTTTGATATTTTCGGGAGGCGTCGAAATTTTATATTATTTTTTTAGCATCTTAACGTCCTCAAATGAAAAAACTCAAAACTACAAAGTTGTAGATCTCATTGAGAGCTACAACTTTGGTATAAAAAGTATTTTCATTTAACTCCATACAAATAATATATTAGTGCTCTAATGCTCAAGCGCTAGTAGGCGATTATTATGGTGCTGAAATTTTATATTATTTTTTCGAGCATCTTACTGTCCTCAAATGAAAAAAAATTAAAACTATAAAGCTGTAGATTTCATCGAGGTCTACAATTTACATATATTAGTGCTCTAATGCGGCAAGCGCTAGTAGACGATTATTATGGTGCTGAAATTTTATATTATTTTTTCGAACATCTTACTGTCCTCAAATGAAAAAAAATTAAAATTATAAAGCTGTAGATCTCATCGAGGTCTATGTAAATTGTAGACCTCGATGAGATCTACAGCTTTATAGTTTTAATTTTTTTTCATTTGAGGACAGTAAGATGCTCAAAAAAATAATATAAAATTTCAGTACGATAATAATCGTCTACTCGCGCTTGCCGCATTAGAGCACTAATATATTATTTGTATGAAGTTAAATGAAAATATTTTTTATACCAAAGTTGTAGCTCTCAATGAGATCTACAACTTTGTAGTTTTGAGTTTTTTCATTTGAGGACGTTAAGATGCTCAAAAAATAATATAAAATTTTGGCGCCTCCCGAAAATATCAAAAGTTACTGTTCATACACCAAAACCGCCTAGAAACCAGCCCAGGGTTGAAAATTGAATGGTTTCAAGTGTTTGAGGGCCAAAGTTATCTAGTTTTGGAGTTCGAGGTTGAAATCTGAACTTTGACGAGAGTTCAAGATTGTAAATTGGACTTTACCCTAATAAAAACTTTCAAATAAAGAAGTTTTTAAAAATTAAAATTACTTGAAGTTTTTAGGTTAATATAAAAACTTTCAAATACAAAATTTTTAAAAATTAAATTACTTTGAATGCAGATCAACACATAACTTACATGAGCTATTATTTCAAATTTGATTATATCAGAATATGAGATGATGCATGCATAACGCCGGATCATCCGGTGCTACTGGTAACTTGGCCTCTGGCCAACTCATCGTATGATTAGGTGAAGGAAAAAGGAGCAAAAATGGATCATTCGGTGATGATCAGTAAGCACTGAGATGGCAAGAGTTATGCAAATCTCATTAAACACTAAGCTAAAGTCTAGAGCATTAATGTGACGATCTAACTAGTCTAAGCATTTCGCAAAAACATTACACTATTCACCTAATATTTTTTTGAGCACTTTTAATAGCTAGAGCACTTGGATGTGAGCCTCAACTCAATAACAATTTTAGCAAACTCTAACACACTCGAAATGGATGACTATGGGGGTATATATAGTCCTAACATCTAAATATAGCCTGTAGCTTTGCAGTGATCACCCGAAATTCCGGTGACACCACCAGAGAAATCTAATGCCTTGTGTAACAACCCTGAAAATCCCAGAGCAATAAATTCCAACTTTCAAGAACTTTTTTCCAAAACCTTGCATGGTGAGAGAACATCTAGGAAGCCAATCCTAAATGCATTAGCTGGAGTGGTGGACCCTAACTAGCATGTCTGAGCATGTGCATTAAACACCAACTTGTTAGTTGCTTCTTATTGGTTCTTATGGCCCTGTTCGTTTCTCTTATAATCCGTACTTTTCAGCTTGTTTTTTTTAGTTGGAACAGTGTTTTTCTCTCACAACAAATCAGCCGGAACAGTGTTTCGGCTTGTTTTTTCAGCGAAACGAACGGGGCCTATGTTTGATTAATAATTAGTTAATCAACTTTATAAATTAAGTTGTCTTGAGTGTATGCTTGATGCCCTAGCATGGCAAACCCCATAAGATTCACCACAAGTATAGGCCTACGAAGAAAGATAGAAATAGAAAACGACATAGAATTAGAAATGAAAAAGGGAAAGAGGAAGAAGCCCGCAGCAGCCCAGCCTAGCCAGCCACCCTGCCCGCGTGCACGCACAAAGCATGGCCCACTCCGCCTCTCTCCCCCACACCCACGCGTGGCCCAGCCGCCTTCTCCCCGCGCGCGATACGCCAACTAATGGAGAAAGTGCACGCCAGAGCGGAGCCCGCTCTCGTCTCTTGCCGTCATTGATGAGTGGCCCCATATGGCCCACATGTCATCCCCAACCTTTCCCTTTCTCTCTACTTTTCCCCCGCGCGCTCGTCAGGAGGGAATCCAGAGAACCCCGCGCCCATCCACACTGCTCGCCATCCAAACCAGCCCCGCACC